CGGTGATAAGCCTGGAGGTGAGATGCAGTGTCTCCAGCACACAGATCCCATCCCCCCACGGCAGCTGCTACACCCTGAGAAGTGGACAACTGCATAATTACACAGAGCTGGGGACAAGTGGTGGGTGGTCTCGTACGTCAGCAGATAACTTTGGACTTGATAGCAGAGGAATAAATGAGCTATTTAGAGTTACTGAACAGGGCAGTGACATGATGAAAGTAGTGTTTAAAGAGGATGAATGTGGTCGTGTAGGAAGAGAAGGAAGGAGAAAATCCTAGGGGCGTGGATAGTAACTAGAGGGCTGTTAGACAAAGTGACAAAGTACAGGATGAGGGAGGTGGCAGAGGACGGCCAAGGGAAGGTTTGGAAACACTTTAAAGAAAACAGTTCCTACTTTCTTTAGAAAGGATTCTGTGACTGACTATCCAGGGGAGATGAATAAGTCAAAGGTCAAGTCTAACCATAGTAACTGTCCTGCAAACTTCCCGTCGTTTACCCTTACCTCCCACTAGATCCTGAATTCCATAAGGGAAAACAGCACTTCTGTCTTGTTCACTAGTGCCCTGCATGGCATCTCAAGCATAGAAGGTAATCATGACATTTTAAACTGCCTTCCATTAATGAATAATGAACTCATGGATGAATTTTATTCATGGAAAATAAACTGAATGAATAAACAAATAACATGAATGACGCCACAAGTAGAAACAGTGAGTATGCACTGAGCACTTTCTAGTGAGGATTTTGTAAGACTTGATTTGCACTAAATATCTTATTTCAATCCTAACAAAATTCCTATAGAGTAGATACTTTCCTGTAGAGTAGTTTCATTTTATCTGCATTTAAAATGAAGCCCAGCAAGTTCAGGCAATTTTCCCAAAGTTACTTAACTAGAACATGGCAGAGCCGCGATTCAAACCTACGCCTTCTGATGCCAACGCCTGTGCACGAAGTCGGGAAAGTGGGACTGGGCCTTGGAAAAAGAAAGTCCTGTCAGAAGAAAAGCAGAGGTAATGGAAGCCAGTTAACTTTTGTACAACTTGCACATCGTAAACATTTACTCTTCATGTCAAGTCCACGGGTAGATACTCATTGAAGTTTAGGTTGACCTCCTACCGTGGATCAAGGAGGTCCCTAGAAAGACAAAAGAAGCCACCCTGTTCTCAGGGACAGGAAAACTGAGTAGAGGAGAGCAGACGTGACAAGTGAAATAAGCCAAAAGACAACCGTGAAGGCTAAACTGCAAATCAAGCCGTCCTTGATTAAGTGTGCAAGGAAGACGCAGGCTAAAAAGCGTTAGGATCTGGGGACGGAGAACGGGAGCTGCCGTCTTCTTTGCTCCAACGTGCCTTGCGTTTTCTTTCCTTACTTCTGTCTGCGTATACACTTCCAACTCTGCTTCTCTGTTATAAGACTGTATAAAACACATTAGCCCGTTTCACGAGTGTTTTCCAAAAAGCCCCCTTTCCAGGCATCTGATGACACTTTAGGACAGATGGTTTGTGCTCAAATTAAAGACTAATAAATACAAAAAGAACAGCACGTCATTTAAACTGCCCAACAAATATTAAAATTTTTCCCTTTCAAAACTTGTTGGCTCATTTTTAAGGCATATTTTTATTTCTCCAAGGAGAGGCTTCTACCTTATAATTGGAAAGACTACTTCATAATTTAATAAATTTTATCTTCAGTAGAGTTCACATGCACTTCATTTAAATATCTCACACTCAATTCTGCCTCTTTGCTCTCAGTTGCATTTCATTGTGTGATATGAAATATTTTTCCCTCCTCAACATCTAGCATCTTCAAATAATATCAGAGTCATTAGCTCTCCCTTTAGTTTCTGCTCAGTCAAGCTGTGTGTAATTAGCTCCTTTAATCTTTTCTTTGAATAACTCTTGCCATTCCCTTAATCAGTTTGTGCATTCTCTGAAGTTTCTTTAATTCACTGGCATTTGTTGAGCTGCATTCCATGTGGCTGTACAGGTGTAGTGAAAAAAACTATACAATACACTTGATTAACTACCCTGCAGAATATCCATGGGGAGTTTAGAGCTCCCGCAGGCTTACACGACATGTTTCACATGTGACGTGTGGGCTACCAGGCACACAAAAGAACTGAGATCGGAGGTCCGAATCCTCAAGCTCCCTTAAGTCGCCAACAACGACACCTGTACAATTGTGACTCAGTCAGCAGCAGTTTTTAACCAAAAATAGTTATACTTTAACCAGAAATCCCTGTCCACACCCCAGAGTCCACTAAGAAAGCTTTCAATGGGATTGAGAGAGACCAAGGGAAAAGCACGGCGGTAAGGGCAGAGAGAGACAGACAACTCGGAAGAGAGTGTTCCAAGCACACATTTTAATGTTTGATTCTATTTGAAGTGAATCAACACACACTATACGAGAAAGATGCATAGGCAGTAAGCTACCTGGTTGCAAAATTCATCACAATTTTGATCACCAGATCCACCTGATCTGAATGTACCTGAGGGCAAGCTCCCAGAGACAGGAAATGAGTCTATCACAGTACCTACGAGAGGCTCGAAAATCAAAAAACACTTCTTGCATGAAGAAATGAATTCCTGGGTGGTAGCCAGGTTGAGACACTTTCCTTCCCTTATTGTCCACTCCCCTCCCCAAAGCTGTAAGTGACCCACACTTCAACAGAGCAGGAATGTTCTCTGATCAAAGTTATAAAGTCGTTCCACCCACCTGATAGAACTCTCATGTATCGTGTGATTTCCATATGAGGTCCTGTGCGAGGCTGTGGTGCAGGAAAGAGAAATAAGACAAGGGCTCCAGTTTATGACAAGATTTAAAGAACAGATTAAAGATAATGATGGGGAAAATGTCACAGTTTTATACAAAATGAATTGCCCAATAAACAACAAAGAAGGTCAGAGAAGAGAGAAATCACCAATTTTGACTGGATCCTAAGGACCAAGCAGAGGTCGCAGAGAAATGGGAAAGGGAAAGGAATATTCAGGCAGACGGGCACTGCGGCATGGGGGTCAAGGAAAGGAGATTTAAGACAGGTAGGCAGCAGTCTGGACCCAAGCTCTACAGTTTGCTAGTCACGTAACCTTCAACAATTTACTCAGTCTACTACTCAGTTTCCTCTTTGGTAGATGGCTATAATAAATAACAGCCAACTGTGCTGAATGCTTACTGTGTGCCAAGCAAAACAGAAATGCCTTACATGAACTGACTCATTCAATCCTCACAAAGCCCAGGAACTAGACTCCATGAAGAACAATCATTTCCATAAACTGCTTCGAATAGCGCAGAGCACATGCGAAACATTAGGACAGGTCAGGCATGACTGTCCTGACAATATTATCACCATTTTGAAGATAATACAGACGAGGTACATAGAAGTGTGTGATTTGACCAAGGTCACACACATAACCAGCAGAGGCAGGATTAGAGCCAGAAAGTCTGTCTCCAGACCCAGAACTTCACTTCCTCGCGGGGTGAGCTTTATTAACAGCCTAATAACTCCGATACGTCTGACAGTGTCCCAAGCACGTGGAAAGCCTTACACATTAGCGACTATTTCTACTATTTCAGAAAAGATAAGAATTATCCAGTTCTTGGAGACAGACACAATTCATTCATTAACTTCACTGAGATTTAAAGAATATCTACAAATACTTGGCACTGGACTCAGTCATGGGGTCATAAGCAGGAATAAAGCATAATCCTTGCCCCTTCGTTGCTCACAGTACATAAAGGAGGTTAAATTCATAAGGAAGAGACTCAAACACTCGGAGAAGTGCTCTACAGAAGTGATGATACGGAAATTACCCTGCCTCACTGAACTGTCACGACAATGAAGTTAAGCTGACATGTGTCAGATGCGTAGACTAGGACCTGGAATGAATGCATTAGCTACTGTTAACCTTACTGCTACTGTCATGCTCTGAGTGGTGGTGTACACATGAAGAAAGGGAGAGCAAAAGTGGCAAACGGACGGCCTGTTAGCCAAATCCAGCTCCCAGCCCTGTTTTGCTCAGCTCACACAGTGGTTTGCCATTTATTTACTTACTAACGTGAATAAATTGTCAACATTTAAAGATTAGAAGATCACATAAAAATTCAGATTTCCAGTCTCCCCTGAAAAAAAAATCAAAATACAAAAGCACATTTCTGCCTGGCAAACATGAGCAACAGTCAGGGTTTAACCAGCTCAGCAGGCCTGGATGTCCTCGTCCCCACGTACGGTGTGGAGATCAACTGGGAAGCGGCAGGCCCGGGGCACAACAGCTGGTGGACAAGGAATGACACGGGCTTGCCGGCCTGAGGACACGCAGGAATCCCCCTATAGAGCCATGCCTTGCCTAAACATTGATTTGTAGGATTTTGGCCACTGTTACGAAAGAATTTTTTTTCCCTATATCTAAGTGGATATTGTGAAATCTCTAAAGAGGTGGGAATAAAGGCTCTGACAACCTTTTCTAATCCCACAAACTGCAGGCAAACCGAAGACTATGAAGCCTGGAGTCCCACTTAGAAAAGAAAAAGAGGGTTCTTCAACAAATTAAACAAAGAATTATCATATGTGTACATTAAACAATATAAAACAGCTATTTAAACAAAAACTTGTACAAAAATGTTTATAGCATAACTCTTGAGTATAATCAAAATGTGGACACAACCCAAATGTCCATCAACTGATGGACAGGCAAAATGTGCTATACCTGACTGTTACTCAGCCATAAGAAGAAATGAAGTGTTGATACATGCGACAACACAGATGGACCCTGAAAACATCATGCTGCGTGAAAGAAGCCAGACACAAAAGGCTACATATTGTGTGATTCCATTTATGGGAAATACTCAGAACAGGCGAATTCATAGAGACAGAAATAGAAAGCAAGAGAGTGGTAGCCAGGGGCTGGGGGAGGGGGAAACAAGGAGTGATTGCTTCAGTGGACACAGAGCTTCTTTCCTTTTGAAGGAATGAAAATGTTCTAGAACTAGAGTGGTGACAGCAGTGAAACACTGTGAATGTCCTAACTGCCACTGAACTGTACACTTTAAAGGGGTTAAATGGTAAATGTTATATGTATTTTAACACAATTTTTCAAAAGGCATTATTCCCAGGACTTAGGTTCCCAAGGTGTGCAGGATTTGTTCTCTTTTTTTCAAAGGACCATTGCTCAGTAAGCTTCTCTTACATAAATTGATGGCTTAATCAGCACTATGGGAATGCATATCAAATAGTTACTGAGTGAAGGAAAATATGACCTGATTACTCCTCGCCAAAGTCAGGAGTCCTTGATACTAACAATATTTTCTGGCCAAGAAATCATCTGGATATGTCTGCCAATATAAATGTACAAACTAATTCATTAAACCAGAGGACTTGAACCCCTCTCCTAAGGATGCAACAACCAGCCATCACATCTCCAGAAACTTTTCTGACACAGGCAGACACAGTGAGTCAGAAATGGGCAGAGATGGCTGCCTAAAAAGCAGGTGTTTTTGTCTATGCTTTACTTACAGGGCCACCAGATAAGAGCAATGTCTGGGAGCCCTGACTTTCCTAAGGACCACTCCACGCTGCATTAATGCCCTTTCTATATTTAAAGATGGTTCTCCCATATTTTGTGTCTACTCTTTTTCATACTGAATATTCCTGTCTTTCAACTCTTTCCTTCTATCCTATGCATTTCCACATCTCCATAGCATTAAGCAACCTGATTGCTTCCTCAGCTTCTCTTTTTGATAGTTTATTGTTAGAAATGCAGCAGATTCCTGTATATTAATTTTGTATCCCGCAAATTTACTGAATTCACTGATGAGCACTCATAGTTTTCTGGTGGCGTCTTTAGGATTTTCTGTGTATAGTATCATGTCATCTGCCAACAGTGACAGTTTTACTTCTTCCTTTCCAGTTTGGATTCCTTTCATGCCTTTTTCTTGTCTGATTGTTGTGGCTAAGACCTCCAATAATATGTCGAATAAAAGTGGTGAGAGTGGGCATCTTTGTCTCGTTCTTGATCTTAGAGGAAATGCTTTCGGTTTTTCACGACTGAGTATGATGTTAGCTGTGGGCTTGTCATATATAGTCTTCTTTATGTTGAGGTATGTTCCCCTATGCCCACTTTCTGGAGAGTTCTATCATAAATGGATGTTAAATGCTGTCAAAAGCTTTTTCTGCATCTATTGAGATGATCATATAGTTTTTATTCTTTAATTTGTTACTGTGGTGTTGTCACATTAATTGGTTTGCAAATACTGAAAAATTCTTGCATCCATGCGATAAATCCCACTCGGTCATGGTGTATGATCCTTTTAATGTATTGTTGGATTCAGTTTGCTAATATTTTGCTGAGGATTTCTGCATCTATGTTCATCACTGATTGCCTGTCATTTTCTTTTCTGGGGTGATGTCCTTGCTTGGTTTTGGTATCAGGGTGATGCTGGCCCTGTAGAAGGAATTTGGAAGTGTTCCTTCCTCTGAACTTTTTTGGAATAGCTTGAAAAGGATAGGTGTTAACTGTTCTCTAAATGTTTGATAGAATTCATCTGTGAAGCCATTTGGCCCTGAACTTTAATTTGTTGGGAGTTTTTAAATTATTGATTCAGTTTCAGTACTGGTAGTTGGTCTATTCATATTTCCCATTTCTTCCTTGGAGATTTTACACTTCTGGAAATTGTCCACTTCCTCTAGGTTGTCCATTTCATTGGCATATACTTGTTTCCGGTAGTCTCTTATAATCCTTTTTATTTCCGTGTTGTTGATTGTTAACTTCTTTTTCATTTCTTTTTTTTTAAATTGGTTTATAATCCTTTTACAATGTTGTGTCAAATTCCAGTGTTCAGCACAATTTTTCAGTCATTCATGGACATACACACACTCATTGTCACATTTTTTTCTCTGTGATTTATCATAACATTATTGATTTGGCCCTCCTTCTTTTTTCTTGGTGAGTCTGTCTAAAGGTTTACCAATTTGGTTTATCTTTTCAAAAAGCTGGTTTTTAATTTCACTGATCTTTTCTAGTTTTTTGGTTTGGAGTTTTTTGGGGTTTTATAGTTTCTCTTTCATTTATTTCTGGTCTGATCTTCATGATTTCTTTCTTTCTGCCAACTTTGGGATTTGCCCATATCCAGGGGCAGTTATGGGCTCAGGGGGCCTTAAGGCAACGTGGCTGCTGGTGGGAGGGGGTGGGGCTGCATCCCGAGGCTAATGAACTACAGGGAGGATTCCAAAATGGCATTTGTCAGCATCAGGGTCCGCATGGGAGAATCAGCACCTCAAAATGATGGCTGCCTGTGTCTGTGTCCCCAAGGGGAGCTCCAGTTGCCTCCTGCCTCTCCAGGAGACTTGTCAAGATCAGCAGTTAGGTGTGATCCAGGCTCCTTTCAAATTACTTCTTCTGACCTAAGTACAAAGTGTGTGAGATTTTGTGTGTGCCCGTTAAAAATGGAGTCTCCATCTCCCCCAGCCCTCTGGATCTCCCAAAAGTAAGCCCCGCTGGCCTTCAAAGCCACATGTTTCGGGGACTCATCTTCCTGGGGCAGGACCCTGGGGGCTGGGGAGCCCGATGTAGGACTCAGACTCCTTGTTCCTTGGGGAAAACCTCCACCAACTGTATCTATTCTCCCACTTGTCAGGTCAACCCCCCGGAGCTATGGGTCTTGACTGTAGCACAACTCTACCCCTCCCACCCGTCTCGTGGTTTCTTCTTTATATCTTTAGTTGTAGAAGATCTTTTCTGGTAGGTTCCAGTCTTCTTCACTGATGGTTGTTCTGTAAATACTTGTAATTTTGGTGTGTCCATGAGAGGAGGTGAGCTCAGGACATTTCTACCCCCGCCACCTTGGGAACTCCTCCCAATAGTAGAATTTTTCTTAAAGATACTGCAGGAAAACATCCATATAATTAGGTGAAAAGTGATAGCACTGAGAAGAGATAAGGAAATTTTACTAAAGAAATATAGCAGAGGTCAGGTTTGTCTCCATCACTTGGTAGTGACTGGGACATACATCTTTTCGGAGGAAGGTTAATCCTATTTGGACATACACGCACCACTCATACTTTACTGCTTTGTCATTATTTCCTAAGCATTTTTCATGGTATTTATCAACCTCTAGTATAGAAGAAGCACCCAGTGAATTTCTCTTGAAGTTTCATGTACACAGTGAGCAGTCTATTTGTGCACACTTCTTTGTGGTGGCTTAGGGGTAGGCTTATAGAGATGAGGGTGTAGGCTGAAGTATACCCAAGCCACGTCTTAGACATTTACTGGTGCCATGGAGAGAACACTACAGTGACAAACAGGAGGCACAGCCTCAAATACATCACCTAACCTCTT